TGAGGTGACAACTTGACCCGCAAATTGAAAGCCTCGCGATCTCTCAGGAACCGAAGTGCCGGCAGCAAGGTCTTCGGTCTGCCTCTCCAGAACAAAAAAATCAAAAAGATATATCAGAAAACTCCTTTTCCAACTTCCCGAGCGAGTGTCCAAACGTTTGTTTCGCGAAATACTGAGATCCACCTGATACGCATTCCAAGCCCCTACCCTCAATCGTCGAAGTTCTGCACATTCAAGTGCCTTTCAGGAACACATTTCTCTCGAGATATTGTCTGTATCGCAGGTGCTTCCATTATATCCAGCAAAAGTGTTCAAAGATCTTGCTCGGCGTGATATTCGTCCTGCTGTGTCTAGCTCTTTAGATCACTCCAGTGAGGAAGATCATTGACAATTGCGTGCTTTTTGAGCATTTTATTCATCTGACCCAAAACGTCCCCAGATGAGATATCTCCCAGACAGCCGTGTCGGATTAGGAAATCGATCATGACGAGTGCTGAGTTAGGCTTGAATTTGTGATCGAGAAGATCTTTGACAATCTCGCCGACTGACTTCTTCTCGACTGAGTCGACTTCGTCCGGATTGGGCTTGAAAATCGGGTCTTCTTTCACTTCCAAATCGAATGGAATTTTGACGCCGAGTTCAGGGGCACCAAGAAAGTCTTTGCCCCATCGTTCATCCCGCAGAACAGCAAACTGAATCGGAGAGGCTTCCTTGACTTCCTCTAGCCAGTCAGCTCGTAGACTACCGTTTATTTCCTCCTTCACTTCCCGTTTAAGGCATTCTTTCGCAGTCGTGTCGTTAGCTTCGCCGAAACCCCCACCCGCGTTCTGATAGCCCCCAGCAGCGCACTGATCGTACTTGCTTGGAAAGGTTGACTTCCGATCCGAACGTCTCGCAACGAATATACAAAACTTTTTCGGATCTTTGATATCGTTTGCGTCACGTTTGTAGATGTTTAGATGAACGCCAGTAGTCACAATGCCGAAGACGGGAGACAAACCACAGACGAATCCGTATGGTGAGTTGGGATCAATATCGTACAGCGGCCACATCTCATTTTCGTCATCCCAGACTGCTCCGAAATTTTTGTCCGTATGTCGACTCTCTTTTGGGCAAAGGATATCTCGTATATTTCTAATTCCCTTAACGAAAGCGTTCGAATCCTTCAAATGGTCTGCGTGTAGTCGAATACGAGGACATGATTTCTGTCCAGCGTCGATCGTGTCGAACGAAAGGTGTCCCTCCAACTTCGTTTTCAACTCTTGTAGAAGTTGGGCGTGGTGAGCGGTAACAACGCCCATCTTCTTCCAGCCCGTTCCAACATCGTAACCAAATTCCCAGTAACCGTCTGTGTTTCGGAAGTTGTTGTAGCTTTCGACAAGTTTCAGTAGTTTCTTCAGGTCTTTAGCATCGAGAGGCTGCGGATCTGGCATGGTAAATGCTGCCAAGTGTGCGGATGGATTGAAACTGTTTTCTTCTAATCTTCTTTCCTAGATGGTTCTGGGAGAACGAGTCTATAGTTGCGTATAGAATTTGATAGTTTGATTTGCTCAGTGAACGTATCGACGATTTGCTACAGTATTTTCCAAACTACTCTACAGCATATGATCGTCACCATGGCCGATTTAAACATTTTCGTCCCATGGGAGAGATGAAAGGCCTTGAGTAGTTTATTCAATACCGATTTCTTCGACAAAGCCGCAATCCAATTCGCTTACCGGTGTGCATATTGGGGGCAAAGCCGACGCCTAGCAGCTCACTAGGTTGCATTGGAATGTCTTCCAACAAACACATTGTTTTTCATAGTGAAGCGTGAACAGGGTCACTTATCTTGGAAGAATACTGTATGTGGAGGCTTAACATAATCACGGACCTACATGAGGGAGCTAGTCTCCCTTTGAGGACAGGCCATTTGCTTTCTCTGCATGAAATGAGGAATACGTAATTCATTCGATACTCTCAATACATCAATGCATTGAAGTGTTGAAAGACACATATACAGCTGTGACTGATTTCCATGTGGAGATTGATCAACTATTTTGAAGCTTGAAATCCCGACATGGACTTTCACCTGCTCCAGCGCTAATGCATCTGGGTAAATTTCTTTTCAGCTTCTGCTTCGGCGCCGATGACCACTTCACTATTCAAAGCTTTGACGGAGTGCTTTCTCGGCTAGGGTAAGTATTGAGAGCTTACCATATCATAGTATAGATGCAGACATACACCAGAGTGTCTTCTTGGCTGCATTTACCATGGACCTTGGTAAACAACGCAGTGGAAGTTGACGCTGATTTGAATTGTCAACATACCTTTTAATCATGAGCGCGCGTAACGTGAGCTTATAGTGTGTTCAATATGAAAGAAGCTCATTGTTCAGATTCTTTCAAAGCCGGCATTTGGTGTGACACCAAGTTGAGTGTAGATGATGATTTAGTACTGTGTAACACTGCAGTTTTGGCTGACGATGGCCTCATACCCAAATGGGATAGCCGGGGTGTTCTCGGTATACATGCCAGGTTTCGGTGACCGTCGGTATATCTCGGTGTAGGTGCCGACTCAAATGCCGGTTGAACGTTTAGCCCCGGGACCGAGCTTAGAGCTCTGCGTATGGTTGCCGAACCCAATTGCCATGTTATGCGGGTCCCCCCACCTCGGCTTTGGGGATCAAGCTGGGGAAGTTGAGCGGAAGAAGGGGAAGAGCTATTCTCCCTGACTAGCAGTACATCGCTCAAGCTCCCCCGGTTACCAAGCGACATCGCTCACATTTACCCGACTCTTTTTCGAGACAGCCTTGGCCGAGGGCTACTTTCTAAACCTTACTTCCTCATTTCTGTACAACAAGTCTGGCTTTCTGTCAACATTCACAGTCAATTGACGGCCGTAGCTCCGAGAAACATCACAAACATGTCTATCCCCAAAGGAATCTCGTCCGTATTGAAGAAGGCGCCCTCCGACGTCGTCATTCTGTCGTCGCTGCGTACGCCCGTGTGCCGGTCGAACCGCGGACAGCTCAAGGACGCATACCCCGAAGAACTGCTCTCGACCGTCCTCAAGGCCACCCTCGAGGCCAACCCGAACCTCGACCCTAAGAAGATAGAAGATGTCGCAGTCGGTGTCGTCCTCTCGGAGCTTGGCGGCTCCAAGGCTGCCCGTATGGCCATGAACCACGTCGGCTACCCCAACGACACCTCCTTGTACACTGTCAACCGCGCCTGCTCGTCATCTCTGCAATCAATTGCCCTCATCGCATCGCAAATCAGGACCGAGACGATATCGGTGGGAATTGGTGCCGGAATGGAGAGCATGACCCGCAACTACGGCAGCCGTGCGATTCCGGTGGATGTGTGGCCCGCCCTCAAGGAGTCACCGGTCAAGGACGCGAGAGATTGCATTATGGCCATGGGCATCACATCTGAGAACGTCGCTGAGCGCTACGGCGTCTCCCGGGCGGACCAGGATGCGTTCGCGCTGCGCAGTCACCACAACGCCTCAAGGGCGAGAGAAGATGGCTCCTTCGCCAAGGAGATTGTTCCCGTCACAACAAGATTCCAGGAGACGGACAAGCAGGGCAACAAGGTCGGTGAGGAGCAGACAATCACAGTCACCAAGGACGACGGCATTCGCGCCAACATGGCGATTGAGGCCTTGCAGAAGCTGAAGCCGGCATTCAAGGCCGACGGCGCCAGCACGGCAGGCAACTCGTCACAAGTGTCCGATGGCGCGGCCGCGACGCTCTTGATGCGCCGGAGCACCGCCACAGAGCTGGGTCTCACCGACAGCATCATCGGCAAGTTCGTCGGAGCCACCACCGTCGGATGCGCTCCCGATGAGATGGGTATCGGCCCCGCCCTGGCGATCCCCAAGCTTCTGGGTCAGTTCGGCCTGGAGAACAAGGACGTGAACCGTTGGGAAATCAACGAGGCCTTCGCCAGTCAAGCGATTCACTGCCTGAGAGCGCTCGAGCTGGAGCAGGCTTACGAGGATGGCAAGGTCAACCCCGACGGTGGTGCTATTGCCCTGGGCCACCCTCTGGGTGCCACCGGTGCCCGCATGACGAGCACCCTGCTCCACGGTCTCGGAAGATCTGGAGGCGAGGTCGGTGTTGTGAGCATGTGCGTCGGCACCGGAATGGGTATGGCTGGTCTGTTTGTAAGAGAGTAGAGTGTTAGTATAAAATCGAAGCTACCAGTATATACTGTGCCGCACTTCAATCGTTCGGAAATTCCGAACCCATAGCTTCCGACTGATTGCTCCGGTATTCGCGGTGCGAAGTCCTAACGGTCGTCCCATGGGAGTTTTTGTCACCAGTACCAATTGCAACCACCCTTGCTCTGATCTGCTCCATGTGTCTCATCATCCATTAAGCACAGTCACTTTCCGTTAATTGGCACGGGATTACCAACAAAGGCCCCCGGTCTTCAGTATCATATCTTGCCAGGTGAGCATTGACAAATACTAGGTAAGTAGATGGGTCTTTTAGGTGTGAAAGTCTGGACAGTCCTGTTGCCGCGCACCTCGCAACAATTGCCCACAAGATTTTGAAAGTCGCTCAATGGACAGAACTCCATTGAATGGGCAGACGTAATGATTTAGCGCAGAGAACGTGCATAGCATATGTGGTTTAAAAACCAATTACCCCTCCATCGACGTTGCTCTACCCTCGCCAAGTTGGTGTAGAATAAGCGCCGGTTTCCAAGAGAGGCACAAGGTCAAGGACAACCATAACCAATCACCGACAGACAAGACATGTAGGCAACCAACTCACCCAGGCCACATGTCGGGCCACATACGACGTTAGAGCAGGACAGTCATTGGCGCATTTCCCATCGTTGGGCATGGAACTGCAGGGGCGCGGATACTCCCATCTTGATAATCAGGCTATGAGTAAGTCTGCCCAAGCGCCGCGATGGACCCTTTGCCTCCCTTTTCTCTACAACCTCGCGCATGATCCTCCCAGAGATATCGCACTCTCGCGCTGGATATTCCAACTACAATAAGAAATGGAAGTCGTCGGGGCGGTGGCAAGCTTTATAGCCATAGGCCAGGCTTTAAGCACTGCTCGCCATGTCGCTCACATTGCCCGAGCGATCCCGGGGATAGAGAACGAGCTGAGGTGGCTCCAAAATGAGGTCTGTTACAACAATATCAGGTCAACATAATCACATTCAAGACCTCAAAAGGCAGAAGGTTCATGCGCTGACCTTGCACATGATGCTGTAGGTCGAAGCTTTAGGATTAATCGAAGCAGAACTCGCTAAGGCGGGAGTCATTGCCAGTGATTCAAAATTCGAAACACTGTACCTAGAAAAGGCTATGCTTCAGCTCACAGAATCCACGAGGAGCCTCGAAGAAATCCGAAATCGCTGCACTCGACCACTGAGTGCTGACGGCAAAGACAAGATCAAAAAGAGAGCATGGTTCTGGCTACAAGCTGAGCTCGCTGACTGTCGAAGTAAAGCGCGAGATGCCAGAGAAAACCTCCAACTTGCGCTCCAATCAATCAATGCTCAATCTATCACGTAAGGTTCATATTGTCAGCTGCATAAGATGGCTGTTGAAAAGCTGAAGAAATTACGTTGCGCTCTAGGAAACTCGTTTTGCGAATCGAGAGTCTGAGCATGCAGATAGTGTCGAATGTGCAACAGCTCGAAAGTTCTACAGGCATCGCAGACGCTCCAGAGAGCCCGCCATCAAAGGATGAGAAGCCATCGTATTGTGATGAAAACTCATCATGCTGTGATGAAGACCTAGAAGCACTCCAAGACGACAAACCTTTACAAGTCGTGGCTGTGAGACAACCTCAACAAGCCTTACCGAATCCTCAAGCCTCAGCACCCACTGACTTGATCACTCCTCAAGCTTCGAGTATTGTCAACCAGGTATCAGGTCTTCTGCAAGACCGATGCCCAGTTCCATGCTGCTGCCGATGCCATGTTTCAAAGCCAGTGTCGTACACTCCCACGAGGTGGGCTCGGAACTTAGTTGGCAACCTTAATGTCAACTTCAACCGCCAATTGGGTTTCCATAACAGCGCGAAATGCACCGAGGCTAGCTGTAAAAACAAATCAGGAGCATCTATGACTGTCGCGTATCAGTTCCCGGTTTGGCTATGTTCCAGAGCAGTCCAATTGCAGACCTTAGTGGGCGCTACGACTGGGCTGCGAGTGTCACTTAGACCCGCCAGGATTCTCCCCTTTGGATCAAACTTTTGGGCTGCCACTGATTCTGAGTATGCTCTGAGTTCGAGAGAAACAGTGCAACAGTGGATGCTACATTATGGAAATGTGTTCCCAGGTGATACAAACCCAGACGGGATGACTGTCTTGGAGGTAGGCCTTCCATGAGTCGCTTCTGCTGACACACCCATAATTGATAAATCAACAGAGTGTCATAGGACAAGGATCGACAGATGTACTCCTCTATCTGTTCCAGATCTGGGAAGACCAAATAACAAATGGGAATTATGACGAGTAAGTCCGTCAAAGTTTCGAAATCTCCAGGTTCTGGCGAGTACATGTAGCTACATATTGACCAGGTTTTTTTTTTGATAGCTCTTGGTTCTACAAGACGCACCATGAAATTGCAAACACTCCCGATCTACCCGAACAGAAGATGCAAATACTCACTCGAATTCTGTCTGCTGGCAAATGGACCGTGAATGCCAGTCAGACCCCGCTGCATGATGCTCTTTGCAGGGGCGATTTTGAAGCTGCTTTTCGAGCTGCCGAAGAATTCAGTTGGGCCATCAATCAGCGGAACTATGAAGGCAACACGCCGTTACACATCGCTGCAACACAAGGTCATCTTGATAGCGTCAAACGCCTCGTACATTTAGGATGTGATATCAACGAGGCTAACTGGAAGGGTCGCACTGCTCTCATGCTTGCTTCCAAGGGCGGCCATATTCTCACGGTGCAATATCTGATTGATGCTGGTAGCTGGGTGAATGCCACTGACAGAGGGGGCGATACTGCAATAATGATTGCTTCCATAGCGGGGCCCAATAATCTGGCCACAATTCTTCAGGCTCTGATTCGAGCGGGAGCATCAGTGACCATAACTGATAAACAAGGTGATAGTGCCATTCATCATCTCACGTCGTCTTGCAACAAAAGCCGCGTTATTCGGGAGAGCTTAAGAGTTCTCCTGGAAGCCGGTTCTGATATCGAATCCCGACAATGTTGCGGGAGAACCCCGCTTCTACTTTCGGTTCAGAGCGGAGATCGCAGAGGCACACAATGCCTGATTGAGGCAGGAGCCAAGATAACATGTGTAACATACGACGGTTGGGGCTTGCTTCATGAAGCAGCTTTGTATGGAACCAATAAGTTACTCCGATACCTTGCAACTCTCGACTCAACGGCCATCAACACGTCTTTGCTTAGCAACGACGGAGAAACGCCTTGGGATCTCTGGATTTTCACGATGCATGTGCAAGGTTGGCAACGCGCAGATGTCCTAAGGCCAACCCCAAAACGACAAGAAGCTTTCATTTCAATGATCAAATCAATCAGGGATAGAAATTTGACGGTTGATTTACAGCGGCTGGATTGGCTACTACAATATTTGAGAGACAGGGATCAACGAGGCGCCATAGCTGCATTGAGCCCTTTGATCAAGCAGAAAGAAGATTGGAAGCGATGGGAAATTCTTGGTACATATAAAGCCATCGGCTTACAGATCCGAGAAGAGATGTGGGAGGCAGCAGTTGAGTCTGTGGAAGAGGTCATCGACTGCTTGCGAGAAAGGATGGCCACATCCCCGTGCGACAGCGAATCGTACTACGATCCAGAGACTCATACCATATACCGAGCCAGAGAACTTGTATGATTTTCGAGCTATCACGGCTGGATTTCAACATGATGAAAGGGAACGCAGAGCCACTTATGGACGGATTATGAGTCGGCACATTCAAATGCAAGTCGCAGAAGCGACTTTTGATGTAAACAGGGGACCATACAAGGATAAAGTGAGTTCATTCAGTAGATGACTCATTCAAGCTGTAAAACTGCAAATAATCTGAATATCTGCTGAGGAGCACGAATCACAACCACCCCGACCGTAAACGTACCGATATCTTTACTAATTGCAAGTTGCGGTGACTTGTCAAAGCACTCCTTGTTCTGTTGCTAGAACCTTCTGGGTAGAATGAAAGAAGCATACAAAATACTCTCGACGTCAAGCCTGTCGTAGCCAGACCCATTTGAGCGTATAGTTTTAATTGCTGATTTAGTTCAGGGTTGCTCAATGCCTACAATAGCTCGTCAACGGCAATGCCCGAGATAGCAGGTTGTCAACCACTGCCAAACTATATCTCCGCCTGTCATCAAACATCATGACGCTCAGAAACAGAGAGGGTTCAGTAATCCCCAACTGCCATGGCATGCATCGTCCTTGACCACCAAGTTCCCACTCAAGTGTCCACCATCCATTGTCCATGCCTCCGGCCACGCACCTCGAGAGCCACTGATCCACCCTACATGTTTCCGAACGAACCATATTTATCCCTTTCACACACCTCTCCATATCCCCGGTCTCAGAGTCCCAACGCAACTGGCCCTAATGTCACTAACCCCAAGCTAACCCCAGCAGTTTCCATTCCCTCGGGCCTTGGCACGCGGGGCTCCATTTCCCCATTTCCACAGTTTGGGTGCTGTGGGCTGCTGCTCACGCTCCAGTTGCAGTGGCTGACCAACTCCAACCTCTCCAGTGGCGGCGGGTGTTGGTGCTTCGTGGGTTTGACTGACTCTTGTCCTCGCACGCTATCTCCTGCTTTTGCGCCAGACGGCTTGTCTCATCGAACACCCCCTTGCCCTTATCCATTCCCATCGACCGCCTCTTTCTTTCTTCTCCCTTCGGATCCCAAATCTAACCACCGAGAACCCCGCGTTTGCTGCCCAGACACGCGGTTCCGACTTGTTGGAATCTGTCGCAATCTGGTTCCTTCCCCATGGGTCGTTTCCCCAGCTATCCTCTAAAACGCACCGGATCTCAAATGTTGCCCCCGCTGATCCAGTTACCCCGGATTCGGGGATCACTCGTAGAAATGACCTTTGCGTGGGGTATCAACGATGCAACAGTCTTGAAAAGTTCATAAATACCATGTTCCTGCTGATTGTCCAGCACTTTGGGTTGGTTGACAGAACGAAGTAAGAAGCCGTGACTCCATCTTCGTTTATGCTTATTTCTTAGACCGCAACTCTCTTCACCTCAGAGTTTAGCCCCGCCGATCCCTCTTTTTTCTGACAACCCTCCTTCCCCGAAAAAACAGACTTTGCTAGGCGCACAAACCGGCCCGGGCACGATATCAATATCAGCGAAATCTACAATGGGTGCGAGCGAGAAGCGTTCACCTTCGGTGGAGCGCGAAGAGCATGCTATCCATACCGTCGATAGTGTGATTATGGACGAGAAGCCTATCCCTCAGGATGAGGAGAATCGCGACTGGACCGGGTCTGCGAAAAAGACCGACCCGGAAGAGATCAAGCTGGTGCGGAAACTAGATTGGCGGATCATGGTAAGTCTCTAGTACCTCTTGATATCGCAGATGCTTGTTCATGATCTAATGACACCTTCAAACAGCCGACACTCTGTATCATGTACTTCTTGAGTACGATTCCCCGCTCGAAATCACATCATCACATTACCTGACTGACCAATCAGACTACGTCGATCGCAACGCCATTGCTCAGGCACGACTGAACAACTTGGAGAAGGATTTGGGCATGTCTGGAACCGAGTTTAACACCACAGTCTCGATGTAAGACGCGAAGCCCTGGCAGTCAACAAGACGAGAGGACTTCAACTAATAACTTCACAGTCTCTTTGTGGGCTACGTTCTCATGCAGATCCCATCCAATATGTTGATCACAAGAATTCAACCTGGCATGTATATGAGCGCATGGATGTTGATCTGGGCTGTCGTCTCAGGTATGATTTCTGTCAGATAACAAAGTGCTCGCCGGATCTAACAGACGTCTAGGCTGCACGGCACTTGTTCAGAACTACGGAGGTCTTGTTGCTTGCAGATTCTTCCTCGGTATCACCGAAGCTCCTGTAAGTCATGTCAAATCCCATTCGAGCCACAGAGTTACACTAACACTGAAATAGTTCTACCCAGGTGCAACGTACATGCTATCAATCTTCTACACCCGCAAAGGTCAGGCCCCTCCTCCCTCTCCATCCAACCCCTAACCTGACCCGTCAACTAACTCCTCCTACAGAGGTCGCCTCCCGCATCGCCCTCCTTTACTGTGCCCAGATCCTCGCGACAGGCCTCTCCTCTCTCATCGCAGCCGGCATCTTCGCCGGCATGGACGGCCTCAACGGCATCGCAGGCTGGCGCTGGCTCTTCATCGTCGAGGGCGCCGCCACGGGACTCGTCGCCCTCTTCGGCTTCTGGCTCCTCCCCAACACGCCCCTGACGACGCGCTGGCTCAACGACCGCGAGCGCGAGCTCGCTCACTCCCGTATGGAGAAGGATAAGCTGTCCGACTCGGATGATAAGCAGGCTTCTGCTATGGATGGGTTGAAGCAGGCTGTGAAGGATAAGAGGACGTGGTTGTTCTGTTTGATGCAGAATTTCCATTTGAGTGCTTGCAGTTTCAACTCCTTCTTCCCCGTACGTACTCTTGTCTCATTTTGGGTGGTTGGAGGTGCATGGCTAACGAGAACCAGACTGTTGTCAAGACTCTCGGCTTCAACACGACCATTACCCTCGTCATGACGTGCCCGCCGTTCATCTTCGCCGGTGCAGCGGGTATCTTGTTCGGCTGGAGCTCCGGCAGACTTCACGAGAGAACATGGCACATCACGGTCGGCCTCGGCGTCGCGATTCTCGGTTTCGTAGTGGCTGCCTCCACGCTCAACACGGCGGCTCGCTACGTTGCCTGCTTCATCTTCCCAATGGGAGCCTATGCCGGTTAGTTCCTGTCCATTCCCTTCAATATCCACATCCTTTCTGACTCTCTGCGTAGTGAACTCCGTCATCATCGGCTGGGCTTCTTCGACGCTGTCACAGACCAAGGAAAAGAAGGCAGTCGTCCTCGCCATGACCAACGTCGGCGGCCAGATTGGCTACATCTACGGTGCCTACCTCTGGCCCAAGAGCGACGAGCCCCGCTACGCCATTGGCTTCGGTGCCTCTGCTGGCTTCGCTTTGCTCTCGATTCTCTGCGCTTGGTGGATTCGTGTCTTGCTTGTCAGGGAGAACCGGAGGATTCGGGCCTCCACCACGGAGAATGTGAACTTGTACGGATACTAGGTGGCCCAAGGAGGGTCTGCTGTCACGAATAGTGGAACTTGGCGGTGTCGTTATAGTCTTGTCGTATGGATGTTCCGGTTCATGTTGCTGCAAGGCCTGCAGAGAACCATACTGTCATCTTGAGTAAAACAAGTAAGCTTGAGGTAATATACCATTCAAGAAAGACATCATAGGATTCTTGACTGCAAAATTCATTCAAAGCAAGACCACATACTTTACCCAAGTGAAATCGGCTGCTTACCGGCGAAAAAATGCCGTTCTACAAGCCTACTGCTTCCAGGCATAGGCTGTTTAAATCGTAATAACCTTATGTAGATAAACATCACATTCATCGTGCATGGCATGTTTGGGATCTTAGATTAGTTCATATCCTTTGCACATTACCGTTCAAGGTGATCATGGATGAGTTGATGTGTAATTATATGGAGCAACTTGGAATACCTTAAGTGATATTACCCGAAATTCTCATGAGCATTGGAGCATATAACCAACAATGACGACTACAGAATACCTAATTCGATGAAAATACCATATAGTTCGGTGGCATTGATCATGTAGCCATACATGGCTCGTTAGGACCACCATGGCTTGGGATATCCACGACAACATTCGACTACTCAACACAGAACAACCACCTCAACCAAGGAGCAATGCAACCAGCGACTCTCAGCGTTTGGTTACTAAAGCTTAATCATTCTATCGACTTGACTAACTTTAGAGGCACGAGCTGATGGCTTCTCAACATCAGGCACCCACTTCGTGTGATAGCACCGGGCACTGAGTCTTCTCTCCGAGCACGGCCTTTGATATCACAATTCATTAGCCTTTGAATAGCGGTGTGATCCAATTCCCATAGTATATGCCAATCTCAGACCAACGCCATGAAACGATGATAGGGATGGGATGGCTGGAAGTTGCACCAGACATGGAAAAGTCAGCAGTATCCTGTATCCCATTCACTCTACAGGTCTCGCGTTCGATGCTGTCCGTCTGGTAGGTCTGAGCTTCATGGCTTCGGACAGAACAGCGTCATCCTTGAAGTCAGACACTGGTTCGATGGAAGGAGCTAAATTCCTTGTATCGTCTAAGAGCGCTTGAGTGGCACGACAACGACATATATTCCAGTACGAGATCCTTACTTAAGTACGTATCCATACGTGTCGAACAAGGTACGCAGTCTTAATGAATCAATAGTCATATTATAGAAAGAGGAGGCTTCTCCATTAGTTTCATCTTCTACATTATCCACCTCTAAGATTCTAGAGGTACTATGCGACAGACACGCTCCGCATCAAGACGTATTACAACATTTACCTCATCGCCCGCTTACTGTCATGACACAAATATCTGTAGGTGGTGACACATAGGTCGCCATGACGTATACAGGAGTGCCGTCACCACGAAAGAGAACGACATTCGGCCAAATAAGACGAGACACAAAGGCCGTTCTATTAATCAGGCGGAATTACGACGGTCTGAACTTGGGTTTTACAGGGCATCGTCTGTCACAACTGAACCAGGGATCCCGCCAGACTGACTGCTGAGTCGGCTTATCGGCTGTAATTCACTACCCGCTGATAAGTGGAATAGCAGTGATGTTGCTTTGTTTCAGGCCTGAACTTCGAGGTAGCTGATGGGCGAGTTGCCAAGCATGACGACAAACGTTGATTGGTATGACGTTGAACCTTGTTATCCTCCATTGAGGCTGTCAAGGGCGACGCGACTCATGCCATAAGTAGAACGAACCAGCCAAGGGTAACGCGTCTCTGCGTGTAACTGAGCGGACTGCCCAAATAGTTTCTCCATACAGACACTATTTACCTTACGGGGCGGGCCGGATGTGGTCTGGAGAAACTCAGCACCTTATTCCTATGCCTTGAAACCAGGCTCTCAGCAGCACTTGCTGCGTTTTACCACGAATGATATGCAGGCCGAGGTTTCCGAGCACATGCACAATCAGTCATCACACGACTCGGTCGTTCCCCTTTGGGACAGCATCAGCCTTGACCCATCTGAACAGCTTACCGTTACCAAGTTGCGGGGGCGGAGCTCGACTGGTTCGGATGGTGCTTGCTTGTCTTTGGTGTAGATGTAGGCTCGTGGTGAGGCCTATGTCCGATCAGGTCCGGACCTGGGGTAAGCACAATCTTAGCTCCGGATGTTTATATGGGACCGTTGATACGCTTTCCGTCTGCCGCGAGATTACCAACATCAACATGACTTAGGTAGAGTAGGGCGTGTACGAGAAAGTGAAGAAGGTTGAGTCTAGGGCAATGGCAACAAAGTCTGCACGTGAATTCCGAGGCTGTCGATGCAGTTGACTGATTGTCAAACATAGCAGAAACTTAATGGTGCTACTAAGACCGTGCTGCTGCCGATGCGCAGTGCTAGTTCTTCTCCAGGTTCATCATCCGTTGTCAATAGTGGAGAGAAGCTTCCGCCGGAGGGAAGAAGCCTGGGATGGTTGCGCTAATCTTAAAAGGGGAGTACTGTTGGCTGTGAGAGTCCGGGTAATGGTCGGATCTCATCAAGGGCAGTACTGGAGCGGATGTGACTTTGTCAGACGGATGACTATGAGTGATGCCGGGAAAAGACGGAGGTCGGCAATGTCTTCCTCTCTGAGCGATGTGGAGGGATGGGCGTGAAATCGGGTCGATCCCGGAGTCCGACAGAAAGCTATAAAAATGAATTGGTCCGACTGGATGCTAGATCACCAAGAGCCGGGGTTTTCAGGCTCAGGCTGACGCACACAGTTCCGATAGAGCGGGTGTGGTGCGGGTTGCAGGGCCGAGCAGCGCTAGATGGACTGGGCTCGGCCGGGTGTGGTTTTTACGGGCGGTGCGTTTCTCGCGTTGCGCAGCGTCTGCTTGGCTGCGCGAAGGGTGAAGGGCGGTACGTAAGATTTGACTGTGGGGGTTGCCTCTAATGCTGATGAGCGTAGCCTTGTTGGGGTAAAGTGATTTGGCGAGTTTGACGAGTCGCGTTGATTAGTGTTTCCTGTCCCGTTTTCGAATTCGCGTTCGTATTGTGGATACGGCAGACATATTAACAGACGAGCCAGCGCAATCTCGACAAGAGGTATCCGTATTGTGTACTGTAAGGTAGTTGGCATGCACGCTCGAGGCAAGACCAGGCGTCCAGAACACCCAATGGTCAACAGCTTTGTTGAAGTGTCTGCTGCCGCTGCTGGGTGACATTCCAAACTGGATTGGAAGTTGAGAGACCCTATTGCGTCTTTGCATCGACATTTGGCGACAATTGGGACTGGATGATGGATGCCTTCATCCTTGTACCTCCCGGAGTTGCTGCCGCCTGCCGCCTGTGAATAGCCGCCACTTAGGGTGGTCACATCAGTGTGATGATGCGCCAAATTTGGCACTTGGGGTTGCTGATGGAACACATGCCGGACAGTAGCGACGGATCCGGGGTATCGGTATTGGGCCGTGATCGCGTGTAGGTATCTTTTTGTTCAAGCGTCACCACACGCATCGGGGAATCAGAAACCTCGGCCCATCGTGATCCAACACTACCAATGTCGATCTCAGCCGCCGACATCTATCACAGTATCTAAATCGGCCAAAGTCACGACGGGTGGTGGTATCCCGAGACCACGGAGCCGCCATGAAATTCCTCGGGAAGAGACGCCCGTGACGACATGGACGATGCAGAGCAAGTGGCGGGATCGGACTCGGTGTTCGTCCCCGATGGTGGGATGTTGGTAACGGCTGAAGTCTCAAGGTAGGGGCTGTTCCTAGAGAGCTTTCTACACTAGACCACTCCCTGACTTCCTATTCCGCTCGTCTGGTGTAAGGGCGGGAGGCTCTTGTGAACGAAGGTCCTGGCTTGTGACTACTTTAGCCTTGACGTGGTAGGTAGTCAAACGTCGCTTAGGACGAAAATTAGATGGTCGCGGTGTTGGGAGTAGGGACGAGTCAGCAGACGGACGACAGGCTCTGAGCTCAGAGGGACAACTCAAAGTCTGAAGTCTATTGTTTACTCTTTCAGTAGTGAGACTTCGCTAAGACGTTGTCTCGCGGCGGCTGCTGTTAATACCTAGTCTGGCGTTGCTCGCTGCCGTCATGCCATGTGGATTGCGTGACCCGGCGAAGACTACAAGGGGAAGAATGTGCCGTGGATCTCGGAGTACTGGTGCAGCCCGCCCGGTAGACCATGACGGTCGGAGTGGATGACTCCAGTCGGAACCGGGAGACAGATCTCGGACGAAGCTGATTAATCTAATCTGGACGGGTCTACTTTGTGGAGTAGTCTGTGTTGCGCTGAAGGCTAGAAAGTACTGCATTTCTTGTTCGAAGTCTGTGATGTTGAAGCGCCCACTGACCCTTGGGCCCTGAGCCGGTGGGCGAGGCATGTGGGAATCTGAGAGACGCAGATCTGGCGGACAGGTTTTCGGTTGGGCGGCGGGCCAGGGCCCAGGGGTGGGTGCGTTTGCCGTAAATCGTCGTATATCGGCTGTGCTGATCGCCCAGTTGGAACGGGCTGCGACGTGGCCAGGATCGGGCCAAGGCGCATCTTTTCCGAAGAGTGCGCGAGGATATTTACTACCCTGAGTTCGAACTGCTTGTTTGTCTTTCTGCTGTGTCCATAGGGTTAGACGTGTTCAAAGCATTGGTTTCTGAGCGTGCCATCATACCGGAACATGTCGATGGATAGGTCTCAGGCACAAAAGGCTTACTGCGAACTTCAAGCTCCAGGGTAATTGGTAGCATAGTAATCACCAGGTGCGTGTAAGATTGGATTATCGATAATGAATTAGTTGGTGAGACGAATTTCTCACGTCAAGAATGTCTGTAGGTGCGGACTTGTCGTGGACGTCAAGCGTTTTCGGTGGCCGGTGACGGATGGCGAGTCCCGGCAGGCGCAGGCGTACCGTGTGGGTTCAGTCGGGAGAAAGCAGGAGCCACCTCACATCGCTAGGCTCACCTGCGGACCTGCCGCCTGCGGGTTGTCGGGGTGCTCGAAGAACCCGAGACAGGCAAGCACCACGCTTCTGTGGCTGCCTCGCTTGCGGCTCGTTGGCGACCACCCCTTTTTTGTGGTCAAGCGAGCGGTACGTATCGATGAGTGGCGCCCTTCTAGCTCCATGTCAAATTTCCAATTGGACGCTGAGCGGGTCTTGCTGCTTCTTCAATGGGCCATCGCGGGGGTACGTACTCTATGAGTGGGGCCGCCCGAGGGAGCGGGAACTTGTGAACTCTGGCAATCTTGGAAAGAAGGCACTTTGCGTCTGCGAGAGGAGGCAGCTGCTCGTCCAATTGGCAACCACGATTCACGAATGAACCAAATGAGAAGGGACAGGTACGAAAGCCGCAGGAGCCCAATAGGGGATGTCCCCTCCTTGATTCTTAGTGGTCCCAATGGACATCGTTTTTGCAGGTGCTCCGCTCGTATGAACATCCGTAAATCGAACAGGGCCAAGACTGAAGACTCGCTCACGACTGCATTGCTGACTGTGACTGTCAATGAACTGGAAAGTTGTTTGCTTTGGTAATATTCCATGTACGTACCTCAACCAGGTGGAAAAAGGAGTCTTGATCACACCCGATAGCAGGGCTGTGCCAGTCTCTCCTGCCATCCATCCAACCTGTCGTGGATACTCACACCCTCAATCAATGGAACCTTCGCTCACCTTGTTGTCAGTACATTTTGAGCAGCCTCATTGGGTGATTATCGGGCTGATAGGGCGTTTCGAGGGGCAACCCGAGTCAATTACGCTGTGCCTGTCATGATGCTGGGAAATGGAGGGGAAACAAGCTCAGATTGATGCTTACAAAATACTTGTGATACTCATAGAGTTCAGGGTGACAGGATGGGCAGTCTTGGACGGACAGTTGGAGTTTCAAGAGTGCGAGACACCTTTGCTTCGTTGTTCGTTGCCCTATTTACGCCATGGATATCCGTGATGATGTGAGATTGGCAAGCCTGCACAGCCTGCCATACTATGCTGCCGGCATTGGGTTGCTGTTGTTGGTGTTATCCGACATGACATGTCAATTGTGCCCCAGGATTGAATGCAGCCTGCAGCAGCTGCTGTGTCCGTGGTGTATGCAACTGCAAATGCAGGGAAATGGTAACCCGTAGATGGCGTGTTACACTTCCGAATGGAGGGCTAAACTCCCTGGCGGCTGGCGTCTCCATCTCTCGATCTGCTACCCAAATGGTATTGCTTGCGCCGGGAACGGGCAATTGGTATCATGGCCTCGGGAATTGACAAGATGCCGATGGGGACCAAGGATTCAGTCTCGCAGGGCATTGTTCCGGGCCCCTGCTGCGACTTGATTGCTGGATCTCAGGATGACAGAGACATACAGACGTTTCTTTCTCCGTCCCTTTTTTGTCTGGGCCGGTGAGACGGTATACCAAGACCCTGTGTTTCCAGTCATACCTGTATCTGTATGGGTGCTAGTCTGGGGTGGATCGAAAAATCAATCTGTGTACCATTGTAATATCGGACTTGAAATGTCTTACGGCCGACTTTGCGGTCTTGTGTCCGACTTTCAATGTCAGCATTGCGGACGTTGTATACTAGATATTGCGGACTGTATGTGGCGGTAAAAGCTTCTCGAATATGGTTAAGGTATGGTTGTTTGTTGGTCCCGCTCAAGAAAACCCCCCGCACATCAGGTGAACGGGGCGGCTATGAGTCTATGAGCCTAGAGTTCGTCATTAACTCTGCGCCGTACAGGCTGGACCCTGACTCTCGGTGATGGTGAGAAGTTTCGTGGTGTATGTAAAGCCGGCGCTGAATATCTACAGAGAATGGCGAGCTTGGTGCTTCTCAGCGCCGACTGTGTTGGACCGAATAACACGTGGCAGCGGACCAATTTCGACGGTGCTTACGCCCCTGTTGGCGGAGTTTGGACGCTGGCAAATGCGCTCAAACGGTCAGAGTCATCTGCCAAGTCGAGGCTGAAGTAGTGATGGAGTGATGTTTAGCCAAAGTCCGCAAACTTAGAAGTATTTGCGCAAGAAAACACCTCATCCGCACCTGCTTGAAATGCATCTGTCACAGGGTGCCGACCGTCGATTCGGCGGACGTGGTGGGTTCTTCCTGGCGGATTAGCACCACGCCTTCCATGGAACTTTACTTTGGTAGGTACTGCGAAGTGTACCTGCGCATTTCAAAGTTCAACAGAGTGAGAGAGAGAGAAGGAGCGGAGGGCTAGAGAAGGGAGCTAGGGGTTCTGGAGACTTTGTGGGCCCCGTCGAGCGCGTCATCCTCGCTACGGGACAGAACTCTACGCAGTAGAGACCTGAGTGAGAAAGAGGGACGGCGGTACTGCGGTACGTACCTCGTATCTTTGAGCTGCAAGCTTCGTATCTTTTGTTGTGTTGCCGCGTGGGAAGGTACATCACCCGTCGCATTTTCCCTTCCATCCATCTGGCATCTGGGCCAAGCCAAGCAATGGAAGAAGGTCCCGCAATCGTATCCCTGCCGGGCAGGTACGTACTGGCGAACATACTGCACGCCAGCGGACATCCTTTTCAGGACGTTTCGATTTTCTGACCTTGGCCCCATTGGACCTGGAGACTTTTCGGTGCATTCTGCGGAGGGTATTCACTCTGCTGTTGTTGGCTGGCCTTTGCCTTGCGGAAGTCCCTACCTAGGTACCTTCCCTGAGGTAGTGGTGGGTGGGCATTTTTTGTTTTATTTTATTCCAGTTGCTTTGTTTTGTTATTTTTCAATATCCTTCTTCTGGCTAAACTGGAAAGCACCTACTCATTTGCCTGCCCCATGCTTACCCTCCCGGCCCAGCTCCATTCCGTCCCATCTTTCCCACCGGGGCGTGCTCCTTGACGCTGTGTGTACTTCGTCCGCCGTCAGGTACCTCACTTGTCTTTCATCCTGGTCACCCCGAACTGCTGGGATCTTCTTCTTTAATTCTCGTAGCCCTCCCACCACCACCTTCATCTGAGGTGCTTCTTTTACCCCTTCCTCTTCCGTCACCTTCGACGTCTTCTCTCCTTTCCTCCTCACTTCCTTTTTTTCGCGTCGGTCCTTTAATCAATACCTCCTCTGCCAGTCTATCTGTCTGGTTGGGCCCTTAGTACCTAATACCGAAGATAATTAAGTGACCGCGCCGTCGTGGAATCGACGCTGCGAAGAGAGCAAGACGCAGGATCCTCACATCTGTGTCGAGCGGGTGGTGGCTTGTACACCCAGCAAAACCAACGGCATTACCGACTAACAAGCGCAACTTTTCGATAATTTGGGATCGCGGTTGAGTCCGTCCCCTACGAATACCTGCCAACATGGCTTTCGCCGGGATGGCTTCCATTCCCAATTACGACAGCACGGCACAGACGTCTGGCGTTCCTATCAGCTCGGCCCGCAGCAACCATCACGAGGAGGAGGATATCGCTGCTGCCAACCAGAACACCGTCGATACCGCCGCTACATCAATTACCGAGGTAGCGGGAAGCGACAAAGCCCCCAAGAAGTCCTCGGCCCCTTTCGATAGCGACAAAATCTCCGCCGAAGGTGAAGATGAGGATTCCGAGATGGAGCGCCGCCACTCCTTGGTGCAGTCGCTTGCCCGCAAGTACTCCCACGCCTCGGCTACCGGAACCGTGAGAGGGAACCCCTTCTTCGCCGATGAGACGTCGCCTCTGAACCCGAACTCGCCCGACTTCAATGGCCGTGCTTGGGCCCGCGCCATGGTCGACCTCGTCCAGCAGAACGGCGCTTCCTTCCGTACCTCTGGTGTCGCTTTCCAAAATCTCAACGTCTTTGGCTTCGGCCAGGCCACCGACTACCAAAAGGATGTCGGAAACATCTGGCTTAGTGTGGCTGGTCTCGCGCGTAAGCTTACCGGTGGAGGTGGAAAGACCAGAATCGACATTCTTCGTAACTTTGACGGTCTTGTTCGGAAGGGCGAGATGTTGGTTGTCCTGGGTCCTCCTGGTTCTGGTTGCTCGACTTTCTTGAAGACTATCGCGGGTGAGACTAACGGTCTCTACACTGACGATAGTTCCTACTTCAACTACCAAGGTAAGTGGCGTCAAAATCCGAGATCAGGCTTGCAGGGGTTCACCGTGGCTGGCGTCGAGTTTACTCCCTCGCCGCAAGACACTGCAACCGCCACCTGGTGTAACATCGTGTAAATCGTAAGGTGCTAACAGGGTCCAGGAATGACTTCCAAGGAGATGCACACCCAGCACCGTGGTGAGGCCATCTACACGGCCGAGGTGGACGTCCACTTTCCTCAACTGTCTGTTGGTGACACTTTGACATTCGCCGCCCGCGCTCGCCAACCCCGCCAGCTTCCCGAGGGTATTAGCAGCAACGACTTCGCCCAGCACCTGAGAGACGTCGTTATGGCCATGTTCGGTATCTCGCATACCGTGAACACTCGCGTCGGTAACGAGTATATCCGCGGTGTTTCGGGTGGTGAACGCAAACGTGTCACCATCGCCGAGGCAGCCCTCTCTGGAGCTCCTCTGCAATGCTGGGACAACAGTACCCGTGGTCTGGATTCTGCCAACGCAATCGAATTCTGCAAGACCCTCCGTCTGCAAACCGAACTTTTTGACAGCACAGCTTGCGTGTCCATCTATCAAGCTCCCCAGAGTGCCTACGACCTCTTCGACAAGGTTGCGGTCCTGTATGAGGGTCGCCAGATCTTCTTCGGCAAGGCCACCGATGCCCGGCAATACTTCATTGACCTTGGATACGATTGCCCTGCCCGTGCCACCACCCCCGATTTCCTGACTTCCATGACGAGCCCTCAGGAGCGTCACGTTCGCCCCGGCTGGGAGAACAAGGCGCCCCGTACCCCTGACGAGTTTGCTACCGCCTGGAAGAACAGCGCCAACTACACCGCCCTGCAAGCTGAGATTGAAGAGTACAAGCAGACACACCCTCTCAACGGCCCCGATGCCGAGGCTTTCCGTGCCTCGAAGAAGGCCCAGCAGGCCAAGGGTCAGCGTGCCAAGTCTCCCTTCACTTTGTCTTATGCCCAGCAGATCAAGCTTTGCCTCTGGCGTGGATGGAGACGTCTGATCGGTGATCCCAGCATCACTGTCGGTTCTCTCATCGGAAACGTCGTCATGGGTCTCATTATTGGAAGTGTCTTCTACAACTT